CCCCCCCCCCCCCCCCCCCCCCCAGAGTCTCTGGCATTGTTGGAAAACGAGTCCTTGCTGATCCCCTCCCGCCAGGCCAGCTTCCCCACAGGAGCCCGATCCGAAAGAGAAGGTTGGGCGGCTTCCCCGCAGGTGTGTTACCTGGCTGGGCTCTTCTTCTACGCTTTTGTTCAGGAAGTTGAGCGAACTGGCCCTTTTAATCCTGCAGTGAGAGAGAAAAACTAGCGGTGACTGGCATGCGAGAAGCCCAAATCCCTCTTTCAACCTGAATTTGGTCGTTTTATTTTGGCCAGCACCACACTTAGCGCAAACAACTCTTGTTTTATTTCAACGCTGGGAATTACGGGCATTCCCAGCCGGTAATGAGTCTCAAACAGTCCCTCGAGATAAGCACTCACCTTTCTCTCCTTTGAATGGCTGCCAACAACTAAAGTGCCAAATGAACTATTAAAAAAAAAACACCAACCGAAATACAAAGTCCACACAGAGCTTCAAGGATTAATCCGAACAGAGCGAACGACCTTGCTTCCTGCAAAGGTTTCTTCACCTTTGCCCGTCCTTTAGACCTTATGGGAGGGGCAATCACCTCCCAGCCTTACTCCTGAGTTGCCCCTTTTGTTTTGTTCTTGCCTTCTGGCAGCTCTGCGCACACGCAGGCTGGGAACAGGCTCCCCTTATTCCTCTGCCTCGCTGCTGTCAGATTCTGGAGGCTCCGGATACCCCCCAGCCCGCAAATTGGAAACTCACCCAGGGTTCCTCGGTTCTTGGGGGCTGCTCCCTTGGAGCTTCTTAACCAGCATCTCGCTGCTCCGTCGCAAAGCGTCTCGCAGTTTCCCGAAAGAGCCGCTGCGGCGCAGGGCTCCGGAGCCCACCTGGGAGAACAGAAGGCACACAGGTTGGCTCCATCTTTTAAGGCAACAAGGGCTGTGGGGGATGGCAATCCTTCAATTGGATCCAAGACTGCTGCTCCCAGAATTCCCAGCCAGAGGGCACAGAGTTTGGGGAGTTGTAGTCCCCAGTGGGGGATACTTCGGGGGACAGCTTGGTTTCCAGATTAAGCTGTTAATATAATGCACACCGGGGTGGTATGAGGGGCCAAGAATTTTTCGTGTGTTCTTTCTGCTAAGCCTGTATTTTTCAACCTCAGCTGCTTTAAGAGGGGTGGGCTTCAACTCCCAGAATTCCCCAGCCAGCAAGCTCTAAGATAACGTGGATTTTAGCTCCCAGAATTCCCTAGTCAACTTGCTTTGAAAGAGG